GGGGGGGGGGAAGGAGAAACAGATTGAGTGTGTGTACTTGGCTCATGATTCTTTTTGCCTCATTTTGGAGTAGGGAGTGATACGAGAGATATTATTTCCATACGTGTATAAAAAGACATTGGCTGAGTGCCACACACTGCGCAACTCACCAAAGTGATGGGCAGAAGGGCGACGTATTGGGCCTACAGCTTCAACCTCAGCAGACATGTTTGACGGAAAACGCAAATGCACCCAACCGCCGCCGCAGAAACAACAATAAACACAGAGAAACATTCATAATAGGAACTGCAGAGGGATACAGGAATGAGGAAGTACGGCAGTTCCAACCAGATGAACAATGAGAAAGTGAACAGGCAATGTAAAGGCACGGTTCAATAGGAGAAAAAGTCCTATACAATCTGCTAACGTTTCCCGAGAACAATAAAAGAAGCACAAAGTATTACAACCTCTGAGAGGAGAAAAAAACAAAAAAAAGGTATCTTCTTGAAGAGCGTTCCGTTCAATTACATTCATCCTACATAGAAGCATATATATATATATATGTGCATATCTGCCAGTGCGTGCATGTAAGCTACTTTTCCAGCACGCAATATCAGAGCCGGTGGTCATGCTTCTGTCCACTCCACTTTTATTTTTACTTTCTCTCTTGCTCCCATAACGGAGGGGGATGACGTTTCTTTTGGGTGTCACTCCTTTGTGCGCTCAACAAAACACCACCTACACACTCAGAGAGAGGGAGAGGGAAAGAGAGAGAGACACACACACACAAGCACACGCGTGTAAATGCCTATTCTGTCTCAGTTTCATTATTCTGCACTGACAAATGCTGAAGCGCGGCACCAATCTTATCAAGCACTTCATCCAACTCATTGCGCACACTCTGCAGCTCTGCCTGGCGCTGACGGGCATCCTGTGTGCCCAACGGAAGCGCTGTGAGCTTTTTCAACCTTCGCGTCAGCTGTATCTGCTGCTCGCGGAGGATGTACAGCTCGTCGGCAGTGGTGCGACACGCCGGTTCTACCCGTCTTCTGCTAGAATTTCTATGCTTTGATACTCGTTGCCCAGCGCCCTTCGCACGGGGCGACGGGAGCCGCGTCCTGCTGCCGGTGCGCGCGGGAGATCCTTTGCGTGTGCGGTGCTGCCGCTGCTGCTGTT